CATAGGCAATCATTGGTTTTCACATGTTGAGCGTTTTACAGAGCATATAAACGCGCTGTAAAACGCCCAGGTGTGAACCAGGCCTTAGAGATTCCTTCCAGCCTCTCGTCCTCCGCCCCAGCAGTCTAAGGTCCTGTGACTGTACACTGAGTATGGGACTCCGAGGAGGAGACAGGCTGGATGGAGTGCTCCAACAGCCAGCTGGTGAGCACATAACCCATTCAGTGCGAGGGTAGCTCCACTGCAAGAGTTCAGAAAGGTTTTCTTCCCAGAGTTAAACATCTGTACATCCCCCTTATTATCTATACGGTTTCTTGGTCCAGCGAGATAATCCTAATTTCAGTTGGTATGTTTCGTATGGAGTAAAAAGAGCTCGGCTAAAAAAATCATTTCAAGCAGACTGAGACTTGGCTAATATTTCCTTTCCCCAGAGTTCAGCTTTGAAGCAGTATTCTGGGTAAAATTGTTATTAGCACTTGCTGTGGGGCTACTCCCACGCTGCAAGGGTTAAGTGCTCGTTTTTGCCTAGTGTCTAAAATAAAAATATACTCACCCGATCCTCTGAGCTGGCATGCTCCTGGAGCCTCTCTCCCCTTCCACTGCAGCAGTGTAAGGTCCCTAAATCATCATGTTCAATATATAGTGCATAGAAGGCTGAGGGACATACCATTTGCTTCAGGGGAAGGAGGAGACAGGCAGGAGGGAGTGCTGTCACAGCTGGCCGGCTCGGTGGATCAGGTAAATATAACTTTGACCCTACGAAAAAACGAGCACTTAACTAGGGCTGCAACTAATGATTATTTTAATAATCGATTCATTGGCAGATTATTTTTTTTTCGATTAATCAGATAAAAAAATGAAACACCATCCTAAATCTAAAGTAAAATACACAAATGCAATGTTACAAAGTTTACTTCAGAATAAAACTGCACAATTTTTTGCAATCACGCTGCGCTGGAACGCACGACGTTGCAGTACCACCCGTTTCAGTGCAGGCAATCACACTGTGGGTGGGAGGCTTGCTAGGGTGCCATTGAAATGAATGGCACTGTAACACACCTGCAGAAAAATTTGTCAGGCCAAAACCGAAAATGACTTTTTTTCTCACCTTTTTTATATATGTTTTTGTAATAATTGTATTGTAAGCACATGGCACTTGAATAGCATCAGCCAGGGAATGACAGCTGCCAGTGACAAGATTCCGTACATAGTAGCTGAATGTAAATACAAAACAAGAGTGGGCTGTTGCAATAGCAGGTTGGCTATTGCACCTGCCCTCTGCTTGTTGTACCCTCCTCCCAGAGTGGAGGAGAGGTAGGGGATCCAAACAACCAATTGATAATGAGAATAGTTAACAACTATTCTCATAATCGATTATTATCGATTAGTTGGTTGCAGCCCTACATTTAACCCTTGCAGCTTGGGGGTAGCCCAACTGTAATGCTTACTAAAATGTTTGCCCAGAATTGTTCTTTAAATGTGTAAAGGGCTCATCTCATATCACCTCCTAAGCCAACCCTCTTTTGTAGATACTGTAGATACTTCATTGCAATAGACTTCTTGCATGTAAAGTAGGGATGCACCGATACCGGTATTTTGGTACAGAGTACGAGTACCGATCATTTTTTTTCGGTACTCGCCGATACCAATTACCGAGTAAAGCCGGGAAGCGTGTAAAGACTCGCCACCCGGCTTCCCGATTAACAAGAAAGTCTGTCCCCTCTCACCTCAGCATGTCCAGCCTGTCACCCCCGTGGCCTCTCCAGCCAGGAGCGGCCTTCCTCCGGTACCCAGCCGGAGCCGTCTTGCTGGCCAATCATGGAAGGGAGCATGAAGCCGGCTTCCCGGCCAATCAGAATGCCGGGCGCTGCGTCATTACACGGCGCCCGGCTTCCTGATTGGCCAGCTTCCCGACCAATCAGGAAGCTGGGCAGCGCGTCATTATACGCTGCCCGGCTTCCTGATTGGCCGGGAAGTGACGAGAGATCATTGAGCCGATTCCTGGCCAGTCAGGAAACTGGGCAGCATGTAATGACGTGCTGCCCGGCTTCCTGATACAGGAAGTATCGGGCTAGGCATCGGAGCATTTGGGCAAGTATGAGTACTCGCCCAAATACTTGGTATCGCCACCGATATCAATACTAGTATCGGTATCAGTGCATCCCTAATGTATATTCTTCAAATTCCATCAACTGGGTACTTTCAATGTTTTGGCAGCACCAGGCATCTAAAGGGATTCAACATAATTGGACCAGGGTGCAAGCTGAATGATGTACAATAACTTCTGACAACCAATCAGGTGTCACCTTTCTTTTGTCTGCCCTCTACGGAAGGCTACTATTTGGCTGACAACTATGTGTTACCAAACATCATTGCAGTTTGAATTCTAGTGGTAAACCTCATTAAGTTCATTGCAAGGTGTTAGACCTGGAACAAGTGTAAGGTATCCATAGACGTGAAATGATCTGAGCGTGCATGTTAATAAAAGAGTTGTTAATTGAAATGCTCATTCGGTGGTCAGACAGTGGAAGATCGAGATAAACACTTAACAAAGTAAATATTGAAAAACTGCCAGAACAGCGGAGAACTGTCCCTGACCTACTTTGTCCACTGTACATGATCAAGCTATTTTTGAACATTGTTTGGCAAGGAAATAGTGGCTGTTATATAACATTAGCTTGAATAATAATAATAACAATAAGCTTGGCTTAACATTATCTTCAAGTATAAATCATTTTTTTTCTGTCAAATGTAGGAGATATGTGTTTTAATCAAGTCTGGTGAAAGAGGAATTGCTGCATTCTTGTTTTTCATGTGTTGTCCACTCATTGTCTGTTCTCACAATTAGTATTTTCAATAATGTTTGCAGAATGAAAAACTGTTTTTTTTAAATTATTTTCGACCTTTTTTGGGGGGGTTTATAAGGCTCAGTGTAGTTAGAACATTCACAACTTCAGCTTCTATAGGTATCTAGTCTTGTGTTAAGTTTCATGTTTATATGAGCTTTGGTTTTGTAGGGAAATTGATGCACATTTATGTATGTTGGCTCACACTGAATTTAGTCTGCGCTTACAGCATTTTGTGCAGTGCACTCAACAAACATGTTAACAGCAACACATGCTGCCTAACACCTGGGCGATCCGTGACCGCGTAGCAATCATGCATGATACCGCACTGATTGCCATGCGGTCACAGAGTCACCCACCACTGACGTTTGCACTGGTGGTGCCATTATTTCCTAATCGTGGCAGGCAGATTGAGCAGTTTCCCACTGTGATTCTGCCCGTGCAACCAAACATAATTGCGGCTAAAATAGCGGTGCGTCGTGAGTCACAAAAAAAGGTACCTGTACCTTTTTCTGCGATTGCCACGCAAAGGTAACCCCATTGAAATCAATGGGGCTGTGCGGTAATTGCTGTGTGCAATCTGCGCATCCCGGATCACCCAGGTCTGCACCGACCCAACCTGGGTTTAGTCATGTTTTCAGTATGAAATGATAGATCATATACCATATTCCTAAGCAGTGCTTTTATTTCTCTGCCAATCAGTAAGGCCAAATTGTGAAAAGTTTTTATTTGCATTACAGATTTCACACTTGCTTTCTAAGAGTTAGTAAAAAAAAAAATCATATTATGTGAATACAGATTCTGACATCAGCAGGCATCATTTTGGAGCTTTACACGTATATTTCAGTCCCTCATTTCACAGTGTGAAAGGCTGACTCTTAAGCTGCCCACACACCTTACAATTATCTGCAGATTTTCCTTGGTCAGATGGAAAAGGTGCAACAGATTCCTCCATCTGCGCTAAACTGTGTGGAAGGAGTAATCTCCACCTGGGCCAATTTGTTGCACTTTTTTCATCTGACCACAGAAAATCTGCAGATAATTGTAAGGTGTATGGGCACCTTTAGGCCCCATTCACACCTATATTTTTAGGTGCAATTAGGGATTCCTGCATCAAGAACTTGCATTTCCCTACAGCAGGAAACAGCTGCTGCATTTAAACGCTGGCACACTGCATCATTCACTCAGAGTGTGATTGATTCCTAACCGCATGTAATTGTATGTATGCGGTTTAAATGCACCAGCTGTCACCCGATCATTAACTTGAAGGGGTGACAGCTGCCGCTTGTAAACAGCAGATTATGGATTCCTGCTACAGTGAAATGCAAGTTCCTGATGGAGGAATCCCTAATTGCACCTAATCATAGAGGTGTGAATGGGGCCTTAGAGCTTGTACACATGTGCTGGGTTATACAATGGTCAAAATGCAACCTGAATACTGTATCTAACAACCTTTTGGGTGGTATGACACACATTTACTGTGGCCAATCACATGTGCACGGAGTTGATTGGACCTAGGATTTGGGGAGGGGTGAACAGGGTTCAGAACTCCCGTCTGAACTCTTAATATGCTTATTCAGTGAAGTGAATTAAAATAACCCATATAAAATAGTCTAAGGTTATCTCTCACAGGTCAGACTGCAGTAAAACATGATCTAGCTTATCACTAAAAGTCTACATGGAGATATATACATTTTCAGCTTTTATTTTTCTACTCACTCTTATTCAAAATGGAATATCCCATATAAGCCCTGGTGTTTGTCTGCCCCCTTCTCTACCTTCCCTTTCTTCTTTCACTTGCATGTTCGAGTAAGCTAATTGTGCATTGTTAGGAGAAAACCAGTAGTCAAAGTGCTTGGAGGAGGTTTGGATTGTGCCTGCATAGCCCGCTGTCCTTCGATGTCTAAGGCTACATAGGAACTTTTTACCCCTCAATAAAAAAAACAGAATTAAATGATGAACATTTGCTTGAACCAATAACTAAATATTAGAATATATAGCACAAACAACCATGTGTAAAAATGCATGGCAGCCAATCAGCATTCAGCTTTCATCATTAGTCTACTCACTTTAATCAGTTTTTTTTTTTTTTATAAGAAAGCAGAGCTTTTCTCTGTAAGAGTTGAATATTCACTTTTTTATTACTTTTTCCAGGTATGGAGACCAAAGGATATCACGGCTTCCAGGAAGGAGGAGATATGGAAAGGCGATGGGGACAAGTACCACAGTCTATGGAATTCTCCTCTGCTTCCAGGCAGCAATCCTCTGAGAACACTTACATGGAAATTGTTAATGTAAGCTGTGTCCCTGGCACTTTTCCACAAAACCTCACAACAAGAGAGGGGAAAGAGAAGGAAGATCTTCTCCCTTGCCTTCAGCAAGATAATCAGTCTGGTGCTTTAGCCCAGGAACTTAAGACTGATTTAGAGTCAAAAGAACTCTCTGCCACGGTAGCAGAGTCTATGGGATTGTATATGGATTCTGTACGGGATGCAGATTTTACATATGGACAGCAGAACCAGCAAGGAATGATTGGTCCTGGAAGTACTTATGAGAATGTACAACATCTTGTTAAATTTTATAAGCCTGCCCCTTCTGGCACTTTTCCCATAAACTGCCAGAATCAAACTGTAAGTGCTATTCTGGAAGCTGACAATTCTGTAAATGGTAATCCTAAAAGTAACTCCTTAAAGAGCCCATCTTCTTGTAACGAGAAAAGTCCAGCCACCAACAGCCCATCCAACATGGCCCTTTCTGTTTGCAGCCCCACTGGAATTAACTCTGTTTCCTCGACTACATGTCCATCCAACTTTGGAAATTTTACAGTCAATAGTCCAGTCAACCAAGGAACTCCTGTTCCATGTTCACCAAATATTGACAATAGGTGTTCTATTTCTCATAGTCCTGCACATACTAGCACTGCTGGATCCCCCTTGTCCAGCCCATTAAGTAGCTTGAGATCACCCATTTCAAGTCCACCTAGTCACTGCAGTTTAAAATCGCCAGTCTCAAGTCCATTGAATATTGCAGTGAGACCTAATGTGTCTAGTCCTGGAAATATAAACACACCATGCTCTCTTTCCAGTCCTTCCAATGCGAATAACAGGTCCTCTATTTCTAGCCCTGCTGCAAGTTCTATGGGGTCTTCTATCTGTAGTCCAGCACACAACACTTTGGGGTTTTCTTCTGCGGTTCTATCTACAGAATGTAGAACTGATACCAGTATCTGTACTGAAACAAAAGAAAAAGGCACCCAGCAGCTCTTGTTTCCAAAAATGGAAGTCGTAGAGAATGAAACTACTGACAGCGGTACATATAGCTTGGTGAAATTCATCAAGCCTGACCCAGATGGGACTTTTATTGACTCCTGTTATGGAGATCGTGGTAAGGTTGCTTCTGAAACATCTTTTCCAGTCTCTATAAAACAAGAGCCAGGTAAAAACACTTGTTCTAATGCTCTCTTTAAAAGCACCTCATCAGGAAATCCTTTTCCTTTTATGGATGGCTCATACTTTACCTTCATGGATGATAAAGATTACTATTCCCTTTCTGGAATTCTTGGACCACCTGTGTCATCATTTGTTAGCAGTTGTGAAGGTAATGTTTTTTCTGGTCAAGGGCTCTCCATGGGGATTAAACAGGAGGCTGAAGATAGCGGTTTTTACCCAGAGAACACTATACCTTCCTCAGCAATTGTCGGTGTTAACTCAGGTGGACAGTCATTTCACTACAGAATTGGAGCTCAAGGGACTATCTCCTTGTCAAGGCCTGTCAATCGAGAGCAGCCTTTCCAACAATTGAGCTCATTCCCTTCCGTTGGCTCATTAGTTGAGAGTTGGAAAACTCATTCTGAATTGTCTCAGAGCGCTTTGTCATCCAGAAGAAATGATGGTTTCCCTGGTCCAGGATACATTCCAGAAAACGTGTCAAGGTGAGTAAGAATGTAGTCACGTTGTGAATACACCAGACAAGAGATGGCATAAGACTATAATTGCTACATATTTAAACAAGAGAGTCAGGAAATGAATGGGTGTGACCTATTAGAAACATTGATGGTATTTGTATTATTTTATAATGCAGTGAATTGCTGTTATATGTACTGGAATGTTAGATGGTTCAGTTTCAGTTTGATTATCGTTGTGTTTTGTGGTGTTTTATGGTTTATTTGCTTAAAATGTGTTTTATGGTTATACTTTGCTATTGACGTGGTATTTTTGTATTTATTGAAGCTTCTTGGCACAAAACATGGGTTACATTGATGGACTAGTCTAATCAATTTTTTTGTGATTTTGTTTTATATGTTTAATCATTTTACATTATTATGTTGATTTGTATGTAATCATCTTATTGTACTCATATATGGGTTTATCATTAGCCATTGGATAGTTTAGACAGCACGTGGCAAAAACTGATCTGTATGAAAAGGGAGGCAGACTTACACACTTCATTAAAGTGACACTAAATTCAGGAGTTAAATCTTAAAAATTCATTCAAGTACCTTACCTAGTAACACAAATGTATCTTATTTGTCTATCACTCGGCTGTAGATCCTCAAATCATCTCTTAATTCATGCTGTCACTGAGGAGCTGTCACCGGTCTGCTCTATTGATCGGGAAGTGAGCACAAACATGCCGCCGATCCGCTCAATTCTCGATAGTCTCCCTGCAGTGAGCGGCGACTGTCAGTCACCGCTCCCCGCAGGGATTCCCCCTCCCCTCGCCAATCCTCCAGTGCTGAGTGGATGAACAAACGGGGGATGGGGCGGGCACAGCTGGCTCTGCCTCTACATAGGCAGAACCTGCTGTCACTCACGCAGCTGGGTGGATCCAGACAGTATTGTTGGGATCCGTCCCGGCTGCGGCGCTCTCAGTATATCGGAGGCAGTAGCTCGCTATATACTGAGCTTTGGGTCACGGGAGGAGGTTAGTATATGTTCTCCTGTGACCCTAAAGAGAATTATGGGGGAAACACTTACCCCATAGTACTCTTTTTAACTCCTGAGTTTAGTGTCACTTTAAACAGGCAGATAGAAAATCTGGCCAGCTCTGCCCATGAACATATGCAGCCATTGCATGACCATCTCTTTTTTTTTTTTTCTTTTGACAGTACAGAGGTTCTTCTTGTGTATCAGAATTTAGAAGTTGCCAGTTCACATTATGAAGCTTTATCTCCTATGAGTCAGGTCAGGTTGTCTGACCTTTTCTTGCACAGCTGGTCTTACCCTAGTGTTCTTACAGTTCTATAGCTGGTGACTTACATAAGACTGACCATTAGATAGGTCTATTAGATAGGACTTATTAACATACATATTATCCAGCAGCTCCCTAGCAGTTCACAAACATCCTTATATTTCCTATGAGCAATATTAATTCTAGGTTATGTATCTGAAAAATGTTTTCAGAAGCAGACATGAAAACAAATAAACCATCTGTGTCAGTAAACTTCGGCAATGACTTTTAAACCTCAAGCAACAAATAGGCTTATTTTTCACATCAAATCTGAACTAGACAAACACTGAAAATCCTGTTACTTGTTTTTCAGGTTTGAAAAAATTGGTAAAACCAGCTTTGTTGTTATGATAAGTAAAGCTAATATGTCACTGCAAAAGCTTTAACTGTCAGCTTTCCATTCCTTTGGGATATACTATTGAGTAGTGACTTGACTGTCATTTGAAGTGTTGTCTTGTAAAATGTCATGAAGATGATTCCATGTTGCATCTAAGGACTTTACTTGGTCTAGTTCATACATTGCGAATCAGACACACATCTACTAAGGGGATATGGTGTGTTATAAATGGGCTAAGCCATACATTCCTTTCAAATCCTAGCACCTAGTTGGTAATAATATGCATTGTAGAAAGTAGTAAAGTCTTTTGCAGATAACGTTTCTGTGTCACTCCTAACCATAGAAACTTAAGTTAACGTGTTAATGTTTAACGTCTATTGAAACATAAACCTTAACTCTACAAGTCATCAGTAAACACGCCACATACATCTGGTGTGTAGCAGCGGTCCACGCTGATCACCTTATGTGACATTTATTTTCTACAGAGCTCTCTATAGGAGTATGCAGAGTATCCCCATGTAATCTACAGCAGACATATCAGCATTTTTTTTTCTGAGGTGAAAAGGAAATCCATCAAGATATAGACGAGTACTTCAATCATTTACTAACCAACAGTCAACCTTTTTGTAATTTTCTAAAACAATGCACATTTATAAATACTGAATGCTCTGCCTCTCTCACAGGATTGGAATGAGCGGAAACATTTACATATAATAATTATCTCTGTTATTCTTGGATTACATTATAATGGCATTAAAACAATATGCAGTTGTATTCTACGTAACTGCATTCTACATTTCAGTTGTTGAAGAGGAGGCCATATCTTTAAAATAACAACAAATACACCTTTAGAAAAGTTTAGTAATGACAATCTACAAACACATACTTCTAGATAATTGCTGGCTTTATATTCTTTGCATTCCTTATTTCTCTTTACTTTCCCAGTCTTCTGACAGTGGCCATGTTAAACTAAGAGCAGGTTACTAGATCTCCTTTTACTTCCTGGAACTCTGACACATGTGACTAGGACATGTGACCATGCACATTATCTCAGGGAAAGTAAAGGCCTTTCCATGAGATCTCATGAGATTACAGATGAGATTTCCCAGCAATGCTCTGCTGATGTAACCTTCCCAGGATGCAATGCTTTGGCACATGACATCATTTGTGCCAAAGCTGGAGCAGGAAGTAGATGAACTCTCTGTCTAAGTAAATGAAAAACAAGTCTGTTTAATTAATGTAAGATGATTTTAATTCAGTATGCAGAGCTGCATGCTGATGTGATTATTAGTGAAAGGGGGTACAGGTCCACTTTAAGCTGAGCAGGATAGGGAAAGAGCAGCAGTCTAGGAATTAGTGATCTGTGTGGCAATGGAGAAAGGGGGCGTGATCATATTGACCAATAAGATTCTTCTATTAATGTTCTAACCAGCAATAGAAACATGGTGGCTGAACATTCACTTGTTTTTAGCAACAGAAACATCCACAGGCCACCATCCTCCATGATGATGCTACTGGCTATGTTCACTCTTTACATGTTTACACCAATTGCCAGGCAAGCAGCTGCTGCCATGTTTTTAGTTTTAGTTGCAGTCTTCTGAACAAGAAATACATGCCAGACAGCATAGACATGTCCTTGATCTAGGCTGCAGTAGCACCACAGCATCGTCAAGAAGACTGTTCTTTTGTGATTGACCCCCTGTGTGTCCACATTCTGAGACTTAGGGGTTCATTAACAAAGCACAATGGGGAAAAAAAAGAGAGTCAGGTCATGTGACCTGTCAAAGTTACATGATCTCCACCAGTCATGGCACTCTCCCAGCTGCGATAAGCAGAGAATGCCCTGTGCGGCTCCCCCGGCTTCACACCATGGTCCACATTTTATGAATGGGGCAACAAATGCAAGCCATCTGTGTAATGCATTTACCATTGAAATCTTTCTTAAAGCAACGTGTGCCTTCCCGGAAAAGGCTCACCTCCCGATCTACTGAGCCGACCTGTGACAGTCTCATTGTCACAGGTCGGCTAGAACTATGAGGTGAGTGAAAATCACTCACCTCATAGTTCTCCTTTTAAGATTTTTTTTGGGGGTAAGTGACAGTTTCTTTGAAGATGGAGATATACTTAAAGTCCTACCGACCTAGCTCCAGAAGTAGAAAATGTTAGGTACAAATTCCAGGATAGATTATAGGAATATACAGTCTATGCACACATAAGCAGTCTTGCATGATTCAAAAAAAAAGTCTGTTTGTGAACTTAACTTCCATGGTACTTCAGTTGGCATATATGAAACTACAGACCAAGCAAGATTACACAGACAAATGTTTGATCTCTTCAACAGCATTATATTTGAATGCATAAAATCACCCTGTTGTATATGACCCCTTCACAAATAATGCAACAAGAGCATCTAAATGGCTGTATGCAGCTTCATTGTTCGAATGCATTGTACAATGACACTAGAATTAGTCTGACTTACAGTTTGATCAGCTTATTTATTGTTTGTGTGACTATAAAAATGTATATTTCTGGTTGGACTAAATGAGCGTGACATGGTTGCCCAGAATTTGATTGCTTTCGGAGACCATTGCAAATGAACACTATCGAGAGAGCTGTCAGATTTCAGATCAAGGGCTCTGCCTGATCATTGCCAGCTCCTTGATATTTTGGATTGAAGAAGAATGTTTATTCCAGTTATTTACCAATGCAGAGGTGAAAGGAAGGGAAATGTATTTCTTTACAGTAATGCAGTGATTATCATGGTATTTTACTTGAAGGCCCTCTGAACTAAATCATTTGTTATCTTGGAACGCAAATGATAATAATGAGATGTATACACGTACATAGGGGGCTGTTTATAACAGATAGTGATCTCTTGTCCTGCTTTATAGCCCAACTCCAGCTTTTAAAATGTATACAATTCTCCTTTCCCTCTGTGCCCTCCCTGCAGACACCATCTGTCTATCTTCCAGCATTGGTCCTCTTCTGGGTTGAATGATGCCCAGTGTCATTCAACCCACTTTCTGTGAGTCCCAGGCTGTCATGAACACCTCCTAGTGATATGTCATCATGGCAACCTAGAAGAAGAAACCCCAAGAAGAGGAAGGGGACCACACTAGTGATATGACTGGAATTAATGTATGTATGAAGGGGGGGGGGGGGGGTCTGTGTCCACCCCCGACAATTCATTCATTATGACTGACTAGAGGAAGACTCATATTTTTATGGGTGCTGAGTTTTAGTGGCAACACATTTTGAAGTCTTCTATATGTGTGTTCGAGCCATACAGATCCTATAAACATGTTTCTCAAAGAAAGGTTGCTAGTTTCTTGACAAGCCATTAGTGTCATTTTATGCCGTCACTA